TGTTCCAACTAATTTGACACGGCCCGTGTTGTGTGACACGGGCACCCGTGTTAGCTCTTGTTCTGTCTGCTTTGCACGTTTCTGACTGACTCGGGCACCCGTGTCAGCCCCTGTCCTGCCTGTTTTTCCAAATTTCCAACCCAGCTAAACTGACACAGGCCGTATCGTGTGACACGTCCACCCGTGCCAGCCTCTGGCCTGCCTTTTTACTAAGTTTTCTCTTTGATTTTTCCTGTTGTATCCTTTTGAAAGCAAAAGCAAATGATGTATGGATAAAGATATTACAGTTTGAGAAATTTTACCTCTTGAAGTGAAAACTTTAGAACACGTACAAATGTTTCTGAGTGCAAAGTGGTGATTGATCGAGCTCCTTTGGACCTTCTTAAAATTATGCCAATCCTTGCTTTGTGCTGAAAGTTGCTGAATCACACCAACCAAGTCAAGTTGCAAAGTGCTATTTTTTAAGTTTGGAAGATGGTGATAATGGTGTTACAAAAGTTGTTCTTGTGTTTGAACAACTTCTATATGATATATGTGAAGTATTTGGATGATTTGTTTGGGCAAAACTTGCAAGGTGTGAGAGGTTCAAAGATTTGGACTTCAAAGCTCAAAAATGGAGGTTTTATGAACAATTCTGGTTTTTTGAGAGTATAGGGATTTTGAGGGCTTATTCATCTCTCTCTATCTTGCAAATGATCTATCTATTTATAGGCAAGAGATTTTGAGACAAGGGTTGATCATATTTTCAAGATCACATGTTGTGGCTAGGTTGGATTGTAAATGAAGCAAGTTTGAAGATCATAGTTCCAATACTTTGTACTTTGCTTCATAGAGTTGTTGGATACTTTAAGAATGCTTGTCTGATTTTGTATGTTGAGTGTGTGTAGAAGGAACAAGTTAGAGGCTCAAGAAAAGCTGACTTTGTGATTAAAGCTACTTTGCAAGAATGGCAATGTTAACTTTGTGCCAAAAATGGAAAGATCACTTGGACAATGCTTAAATCAAATGGACTATAGTTCAAAAGTTTGTGTAAACATTAAATTATGGTGACATTTGCAAGCTAGAAGGCCTTCAAAACTAGATTATGCAGCATATCATGTAGATTGGATTATGCGTTCTTTACCAAAATGACTTGTAATTCAAGAATGTATGCCCAACTTCATGCCTTTGGATCTCCTAGCTCAAGTATGATAAATTCATGATCTTGGTTGTTTTGGAAAGCTTGAAACATTTTCTATAACTTTCATGTTTACCACTTTGGTTAAATCAAACTAGAACTTGATGAAAATTGGCCAAGAAGTTGAGATGAAAACTGACCAAAACCTGTTGAAAATTTCTCTAAGTGTTAGATAAAAATGTCATGACTTCATGGGCTTATATCTTCAAATCTAAGCATTTTTTGGACATCAACCCTCTAATACAAAGTTGTAGAATTCATCAAGAACTACAACTTTCATGTTGAAAGTTTTCTTTGAATCATCTTGTATCTTGGTGAAAAATTGTCATGAAGTAGTGAAATTATCAAGTTTAAAAACACTTAGAAAATTTCTAAGTATTGAAAACTTTGAATTTTTGTTGACTTTCTTGATTTTCTTGATTCTTGATGATCAATTTTGACATTTTTGAAGGTCTTGATGAATTTTTATCTTTGAAATTGATGTTGACCAAAAGGTCAAATTTTGACTTTTTGTGTATCGGTTAACTTTTCAACAGTTGATCCAAATTTCAACTATCAAACCCTTGATCCTGAGAAATGATTCGAGCCATGAAATTAGGTCAACATGTTGTGTTTGGGTCCTTGAGATTATGTTTCAAGCCATTAGGTCATGTATTAGGTCAGAAGTCGGTGATCAGTCATTCTCAATCAAAACCCTAATTTGGAGGTTCGGTGCTTGGGAGGTGAGCTCGTTTGATCAAACTCTTGAGAATCCTTGATCCTTTGAGATCTTTGGTGAGAAATGTATTGATAAAAGAAAGGGTAAATTTTGTGGTACAATATTTACTTAGATCAAGATTTGAAAGTATTTTCCAGTAACCACTCTAATCAGTGCATTTAATCGGTAAAACAAAGATAACATCAATAAACATGAATAACTGGATTATATAATATGATGATTAATAAATATACAAACTGGTTGATGGATTATATCTAATCCCAACAAGATAATGGAATTAGCTAGCCATCATCATGGTAGCTTGATACAAAATAGATAAATTGAAATGAATGAGCATCAACAATGATTTATCGACTTTTGATGCGTATTCAGCTCGTATCCTTTAATCACCCTCTCTTACTGTCTATTTTATGCTATTACGTGGTCTAAAGAACAAGTTATCCCTAAATGACAAGTTTCTTCTTTATTTATAGCAATGTTTCTCTGCTATGTTCACTTAGCGAGGATGGGTCCGCTTAGAGAACTGGCCTCTCTTCACCTTAAGAAATTTCAAACCGCCTTGCTTAAACCTCCAATCTTCGCTTAACGATATATGGCTCGCTAAGCGAGCCTTCTCGTCACCTCTTCGCTGAGAAAACATGTTGATTCCTAAATGTTGAAAATTCTATGTTTTTCTTCGCTTGGTGCTCGCTATTTCTCATTTAGCGATGTAGCTAGACTCTGGTTTTTCCAACTTTCTGCCTTGTCTTCGCTTGAATCTAGCTACCTCTCGCTTAGCGAAGGTACTGATGGATTGTTTCACTTTGCTTGTTCATTCTTTGTGCTTATATATGTACAAAAAACTTTAGAATAAATAGACAAAATTGAGATTCTTGTATTTCTTGTTATCCTATTAAAAATCAAGTCTTATCAATAATTTAGGATTTTTCTTCAAAGAAACTTAAATTACAAGTTCAATGAGTACTCTATTTTTATGTATAGAATTACTACATTTAAACACTTATCAATATTATGTTAACAAAAGTGAAAGAAGAGAGAAAAGAAAAAATAAATTAGAGTTTCATTAAAATGACAATAATATTTATTAATAAATCTAGTATTTTAACTCTTTTTACTCATATATTTCATTATAAATTACAAAATACATATATTTTCCTTTATATTTATTTTTCCTCTGTTCACTTATTTTAATCATGTCCCTTGTTGATATAATTTTTCTTTACAATAACTTTAGATATTTTTGGTGTATTCCTTATTTTATTTATCTTTAATTTCATTTATTTTTTTATAAATATTTTAATGTAGTTTGGGATTTTGTGGGGAAAAAAATTACACCCGAGCGGAAAAAAATAGAAAGGATGTTACGTAGTATCGATTTATGGGATGTATATCCTAATGAGTGTTTTATAAATATTCTGTCTAGAGCATATTTGCCCGATGCTTTTGTCATGAGATGGCTAGCTCATCCTCGTGACGAGACTCGCACATGGTCCATGATTCTAGAGACCTTTTAGGATCCTTATTTCAAACTTTGAACTTGAAAACCCAGTATGGCCTACGAGATAAATCTCTCGCTAGGTCAATGTAAAGGTTCCTTCTAAGAGAGACTCTTTGGAATTCCACTATGGATGAGATAAATCTCTCGCTAGGTCAATGTAAAGGTTCCTTCTAAGAGAGACTCTTTGGAATTCCACTATGAATTAGCTAGTCCATACTCGTGATAAAATGTCAAATATAGTCTATGACCTTAGGAATATTCTTAAAACCAACAAAAATCCTAAAGCTCACCTTGTGAGGGGTTAGGTAGAAAAGAATTAGAACTATCCTTCGTAAGGAACCCTCTCGCATAGGATGTTTTGCTACTAACCTTAAACTTTTATTTATGTTCTCATATTTGTCACTATCCCTTTCAATCATTATCCTTGTCTGTCATTATTCTAAACCTACATGTGACACATACATTGCATCTAAAAAAAAGAGCTTTTAGCATATCTCGAAAACGAAAAACAAAGAATCTTTTAGAATACCCATATATTTTCATCATCCGTATACATGCACGTACATTTTCAAAACATGAAACTCATACATTTGAATATGGTTATCAGTTAAAGATCTTATTCATATCGTATAAAACATCATGAATGAATAAAAAATAATTCAGATAAAGAATTTCGATTTAATACATTTTTATCTCATATGTTAATATTAAAGTTTATTTTAGTCTCTTAATTTTAAAAAAATAATATATATTGATCTCTTAACTCTTCAAAAAGTATCAAGTTAGTCCTTTTTAATAAATTAGCGATGAATTTAACTACAGATTTTTAAGTTTCTTTGTCATTAATTAGACAAAAGGGACTAACCTCGTTTATTTTAAAGAGTTAAAAGATTAATATAAATTTTTTAAAATTAAAAAGGTAAAATAAACACGAGATTAATATACGAGATCAAAAAGACTATTAAACCCGAAATTTCTTGTAATTTTAAAATAAAAATCAAAGGTAAAGTAAAACGGATTGTAACAACATAATGATTAATTATGTTTCAAAAACTAACTGCAATTGCTTCCATAACTTTACCTTCAAAGATAATAGTAACTTCTATATAGGATCTCATCAAAATCATTTATGCTTTTTATTCATTTTATTATATTTCACCAACCGACCTTATTTTTTCTTGTTAGTTCAACTACTTAACAAATACCTTAAATTCCCCACAAAAAAAAACCTTGGAACTTGATAGATTTTAGTCTATTATAACTCACATGTAAGAATTACCTTAATATTATCAAATGTGCCTTAATTTTATTCTTATATCAGATTTTTCATTGGCATTTATTATTATCTAGAAATTAATTAGGTGTGATAGAGAATCTATATTTTTAATGTGCTTTGTTGTTAAATAAGACAAATCCATTAATGCATTAATTCATCACCTTATTTAAGCAATTTGATTCTTGATAGGACAAAGTGAATGAAAAGCTCAAAATTGCAATACCATTTATAGTTTCTGTCATATTTCACACCATGTGACATTCATATCTTTTCAAAAGTTGTTGGAGTTTCACTTTTCTATTCTGCTTGAGTTTGTGGTTTTTTGTTGGCAATGATGATGAACAAATCTTCACCTCAACCAAACCATTTTGATGATTATGGATTTGATCTACAACAGGATTTTTCTCAGGTACTTTTTATGTTTTTCAGTTGTTTGGTTTTCAACATTGTTAGTATATGTTCAAATTTATTGTGAGTTTGACAAAATTATGATACTTTTATCGAAATCGCGCAATGTGGTTTTGTATAATTCACTAGTTTTTGGAGGAAGCAAAGGAACATGGACAAGAAACAAAGCAAAAGAATTCATCAGTGTATCCTGAAGAAGGATCTAAGAAAAGAGGATCAGAGAAAGATAGAAAGGGAAAGAAATCATGGAAGAGTTCATTGATTTCGTGGTGGAAATTTGATAAGAACAACAAGGTTAAAGAAGCATCCAACAGCAATAGTTCTAAATCTAAAGTTTCTGAGAGAAGGCAAGGTCATGTCTCTGGTCCTATAATGCATAACTCTTACAAAGGTTATGAAGGGAAAAACAAGCGTCCATTTTCTGGACCTTTGACAAGTTTGTTTAAATCTACTAAGAGAGAAGAGAATGGGGTACCTTATATGACTCTAGATCAACAAAATAGTCCGCACCCGGTTCAAAATTATGGTCCCGTTTATAAGGTCACTTGACTCTTTGTTTCATTAGCTATGTAAGTGTTTTTGATGGTTAACACGTGTCAGTGTCAACATCCAACACTAATATGATATTAAAGTAGATACATTTGATTGCTTCAATTTTTTAAAATTATTATCAGTGACTATATGTTTGTGTCAAAAAACTTTTGGTAACTAACGTGATAGAAATACATCGGTCAGATGAATGAATTTGTACTACTTTTTAAGTTTGAATATGTTTTGTTTTTGCTAATCTTTGAATTTGATGAATGAGTATGTTTAGTTTGACATTTTAGTCTTGAATTTTTAATATACAATCCATAGTGGATTCCCTAATCTATAGAGGCAATGAAGAATCACATAAAGGGTCAAGGTTAGGAGGGGGAAAAGCTAAAAAGGCATTGGGCAGCATTAGTCAATGGATTGTGAGAAAGACAATATGATTAAGAAAAGAAATACACATGTGTCTGCCATTGTATAGGCAACCGAAATAACAAGAATAGAATAGAATTATTTAAGAAAACTTTTTTTTGTCGGATTTTCATATTTGTGAAAAGGGAATCTAAACAAAAGAGAGTGATCTTCTACCTTAACCAATAGCTTGTCAACAACCCTCTTGATGCTGAAATGGCCACTAATTTATTCATTTCTTTTCTTATCCGTGCTTTTAGTTTGTTTAGTGATCCTATGATTAGAATTTCGAATAAATAGAATGTTCCAGGTTCAAAATCACGATCTCTGCAGTTAGATGTTTATATAATTATCAACTGAACTGGATTAACGGTCCAATTTATATTATGTGTTCTAAGTAATGCACTACCATAGTTTAAAATATTCAATGTATTATTAACATAGTCACGTGTATGCATCTCATTCCATTTCATCCGTATTATCATTGTAATTGCAAGTAAAGTTTACAATGGAAACAATAACGTTACAAATCTCATCTTCTAAATAAACTAAGTAACCTGTCATAATTTATACAATATCAACACTTTCAAATGATTCACTTAATATAGCATCCATCCTTAGCCATTATGTGCACATGCATTGGAAGAAAAGCAGCATAACTCTTAATTTACTCTCTCAACCGCAATTGCAACCGAAATATAACAGTTTTAGAGGTCTCTTGCTAGCTCTGGCCTTGTTCAACATCCAAAGAACCTGGAATACAAGGACTTAACTTCTTGTCCCTACTTAAAAGCCTCTTAAATGACCTCAATCTTGTTGACATTGGTGATTTCATCTCATCTTCAACTTCAACACACCTAATATCAGAAGATGACAAAGACAAAGAACCAAACTCACTTGATAATGGTATATCAATCACCAACATTGTATTATCACTAGCTAAAGAAGATGATGATGTTGAACAAGGTTGTTCTTGTTGTTGAGAACTTCCTTCTTCCAAAGAAACACCAAAAGAACTACCTTGTTTTTGTCTTTGTGTTTGGGTTTGGCAATTACCAAATACCAAAACATTTGTTGGAAAATTTGAAGACTCTAAACCATTCATAGGACTCAAATTTTCACCTTCTGATGAAACAAACACATTGATCTCTTCAGCATTTGAAGTACTATTAGGTTTAGAGGATTCATTAGAAACTAAATTCCTACAAAGAGGACAAGTGGAATGAGACTGAAACCACATATCAATACAATCTAAATGAAACCCATGATTACATTTTGGTAAAAGTCTAGCTTTTTCTCCTTCAACAATATCACAAAGACAAACAGCACATTCCAAACCATCTTTGAATTCTTCTGGTTTAAAAACCAAAACAGGCAAAGACTTAAGAATTGAAGCTTCAAGTCCAATTTGGTGAATTCCACTACCATAGATGACAGGATCTTGACCTGGAGCAAACTGAAACCGCCGTCTGCGACGGAGGTTTCTTGGTTGAGGAGATGTTCTCTCCTCAAAACGCCACCAGAACCACTTAGCATATAAGTGAAGCATTAGAACAAACATAACAACTACAAACAGGAAAATTATAGCTACCACCATGATTTTTCCTGTTAGTTCAATTGGATCAGAATCAGTCAATCTGTCACTTGACCCTGGTGATGCTGTTGCAGTTACAGTTGCACCCATGTTTGTTACTTCTGAAAATTTAAATAAAGGTGGAAACTTTAGGGTTTATGTGCAAATTTAAGCACAACCCAATTGAATCTAAACAAGAATGAACAAAACCCAGATGCAAAATCAGTGTAAAACTTCTGAATTTAGAAGGGAAATTGAGAATGGTGTGAGATTTCAATTTGGAAAGAAAGTGAAAATTTTGAGATTGGATTGTGAATTGGGTTAGAGAAATTTGGTGATACATAAAGAGAAAGATGGTGAAGGAATATGAGGAATAAGGTTGAACTTGAAGCTCAAGGTTGGACTAAAGACTTGGACTTGTATGAAGAGAAGAAGGAAGAAGGTGATGTGATGTGATGGCATTGGAGTCAAATGGTCAAAGAATTAATGGATAGAGTACAAATTACTAGTTGCATTCTCATTTCATTTTTAATTGCAACTCTTAGAAACAAATGTTACTTTTTTTATAAATAAATTTAAAAATTAGTTGTACCAAAAATAGAAGAAAGACATAGAATACAACACAAAGTTGAAAAATTAAATTTGGATTACTACTATTGATTTGAAAAGAATAAGGGTGGCTTCAAAATTTTGACTTTGAAATCCCACTTTTGTCATTTCTTCAACTGTTTCAAGACAGTTCACGGGATCTTTGTTCCTTTTATTTTGGTACACTAATCTGTAATTAGACCCGTTTAATGAATTAATCTAACACAAACAATACTTTAATTAAGACTGTTTAACGTAGAAAATGGGTTGAAAGACAAAGAAAATAAACTTGTTAATCAATCTAGCAGAAATGGGTGGAAATGTTGTGTTTCTTAGCTACACTTTACTCAATTTGTTGACCTTTCAACTTATTAACTTTATAAATATTTGACCCTACTTTTAGATTAGCCATGGATTAAGACCTTTTTAATTATACTATTCTTGATTTTGCATGCATCTCAATTCTTATAAATAATTATAATAATGACATAGTTATTATTTTTGCAATAGTAAGTCATCCAGTTTTTAAGGGTATGTTGGATTTAATAATAAGAGAAAATTTAGATATAATTTTTTAAGGGTGTTTTTTATTATTTTATAGTAAAAATATGATAAATATATTTAAATATCATTTAAGAAATAAAAATAAAAGAAAATTATATAGTTATATGAGAAAAATATATTTATCATATTTTTATCAGAAAATAATTTTAAAAAAAATAGTTGAAGAGTTGTATTTAAGTTTTCTTTTTAATAATATTTACATCTAAAATAATTAAAATGTTAATTAAAATAATAGAGAGATAATTTGAGTTAGCATAAAGTTTCTCAACCAAAATAGAGTTATGTGAGTGGAATTACAATTTAACAAGTTAGAGTCAAATTTTTATCAAGTTTACTAGGTTCTATGAGTCTTTTGAGGTGCAAGAAAAGTAAAGTTTTACAATTAAGTGTAAGTTTAGAGTTCGCTTAAAAGGAGATAAATTAGGATTTTAAAAATTTATTCGGTTTTTAAATATTTATTCTTATTTTTTTGATTTGGTGTATAAGTTAATAATGTGTTTCTTTCTTTTCTGATTTATGGTTTGTGATGAAAGCGGTAAATGCGGAAAAGTAAAGAACACAAGGATGTATCATATTTTCATTCAGTCTGAGAGTACCCCAATCCCCTTTCAACACGAAAGAGATTTCACTATTATTAGACCTTTGTACAAGCTCTATATCAAGACTTCTCCTACAATCCTCTAACAATAACACCACCAAGAACAATCCTCTTGGATCAACGTAGTTGAAATGAGAACAATCCTCTCACTATCAACCTCTTGCTTCCAACAATCCTGGACAGCAAGGAATACAAAACCAAGTAATCTTAATTCCAACAATCCTGGAAAATAAAATATGAATACAACAAGATTCTTTAAGAATAATGAAATCTGCAGAATAATTATCACTTTGAGTGATTTATCAATATAATTGATTTTCCGTTCCAAACAAGTAACTTATAATGATAGAATATAGTGCTCAAGTGTTTGTAAATATGATATGTATTTTTTTGGACTGATATGGAAACATATGCAGAAAAATTCTTTGTGAAAGTTCAAGAACACAAACACTTGTTTTAAAATTTGAATGACAAAAATAATGTTAAATTGCTATGGAAGAGGTTATTTTGAAATATAAAAATGTAGTGTTTATATAGTCCCTTAACACCCTTATAGAAGTGTGTGATTTAATGAAAAGAGACATTAGTTAAGAGACACATTTTCCAAAACGTACAGATTCAAAAATAGACTCAAAATGGCTATTATCGTGTGGGAAATCGATTTTTGGAATATGGAGAATCGATTTCCAAGTGAAACATTGTGACTGGAAATTTGAAATTTTGTGAAGGAAATCAATTTCTATGTCTAAAAATGAACTTCTGAAAATAAAAAATATTGCTTCAGACCGGTGAAAATTAAGGAAGTTTTTAGTGTGTTACGACGGCTCAAACTGCCATAGTTTACCAAAAACAGGATGTTTGAAAAATTAAAAAAATTAAAAACTTGTCTAAGTATTCGAACCAACCTTATGCAACATCTATTGTTTTATCCAAGTTAGTATATTATATTTTAAAGTGATTTAACATGGTTCAAACATGAAAAATAAATTTTCAAATGTATGATAAAAATATTTTGTTTTAAAGCTAGAAATAGTAAGATATTTTCAACCAAATGAACCATGCATGCAAGTGAGTTTTGAAGATTATTTTGAGTATTATTTTATCAATATATATATATATATATATATATATATATATATATATATATATATATATATATATATATATATATATATATATATATATATATATATATATATATATATATATATATATATATATATATATATATATATATATATATATATATATATATATATTGCATGCTTATACCTCAATTAATTAAGATCAATGTAATTCTTCATAATGTTGCAATCTTGATCCATAGTCACTACTTCAAAAAAGGGAAAAGACAGCGCTTTTTTTAGGCTTTTAACAGCGTTGCCTAAAGCAGCGCTGCTAAAAGAAAAGACAGCGCTTTTTTTCAATGTAAAAGCGTTGTCTTATGCCAACTTTAGACAGCGCTTTTTTATATACCCCTTTAGCAGCGCTTTTGCTTTAGACAGCGCTTTGTTATTTTTTAAGTTAGGCTTTAGACAGCGTTTTCCTTTAAAAGCGTTGTCTATTCCCCCACTTTAGACAGCGCTTTCACACTTTAGGCAGCGCTTTTTTTTAAGTTTTTACAGCGCTTTTCTCCTAAAGCGCTGTCTATTATTCACGTTTTTTTTTAATAAATTATCTATTTTGACTTACAAAAGCGCTGTCCAATATATATAATGCATTTTAATCAGAATTTTGACCATATTTGAACCAGGTTTTCACCATATTATGCACCATATTTGGTAGTTTCATTCCAATAAAATATACATATATAAAAATTACACATATATATAAATTGATGATATATACAACAACAATTGCAAAATTTATGATACAAGTTAAAATGCCTAAAATTCAAAATTGAAGTTACATCTATACATCTTTCTATCTTCGAGAATTCTCATGAAATAACAACAACAACATGAATATCTTAGCTCTATCTTCTACACATGCACCTATAAACCTGGGGAAAAAACCAAATGATCGAAATTCATAACATGATAATATTAACGTTGCACTTTATTCGAATTTAATTTATACTCAAAACTCGAAAGTTCTCATCAAAGGAAATAAGACAATATACCTTATTATAAAATTCTCAACCCGATAATGAATTGACACCATTCCTCCATAAGTTCATCCAATTGATCTTTTGAGTAATGTGCACAATTGAATTCCTCAAAGTATTACATATATAATAATATAACATAGTATTTGATTTAGTTAAAACAATATGTCATTTTATGAGAAACACAAAATATGAAAATAGTATGTAATTCTTAAGTTAGAAATCCATACCGTGGATGGAATCTCTAATCGATCAAAAAGAATAGTTTCTTTCATAAACCTCAACATAAAATAGCCACAATCTATATTGTTACACTGGCGAGGACACTACACATGGAAAGAAAATACGAATATATATCAGGATATACCCCTTAAATTGTTTTATCAAGTATCATCGCTAATGTAATCAAAACTAAATATCTCTTTATGAAAATATACCTCCACTCTGATCCATGTAACGTTGTTGGCTCTACTTTTTGGCACTTAATATCTCTTTGGGAGCGAAAAGCTAGTAGAACGCTATAATAAAATATAAACGGCTGTTTAGAATAATCTCACATAGAAACATAAACATAAACACAAATCCAGATATGTTGACCATAAACATAAACATAAACATAAACATAAACTTGAATATCTCTTTGGGAGCAAAAAACTTACGTGTCAATCATTTGTTTCAAATCTGGATATGTTGACCAATTATTGTATAACGAATCCAGATAATACACAGTTTCTCTCATAAGATCAATCGCAACCAATAACCAGTGTCCACTGTAAGATTAAACAAATATTAAACAATGGCCAAAAACAGAAAATTATAATAGATCAAGTTAGGATGAAAATCTAACTCGTTGCCAGTATTATATGGCAAAAAGAACAACTTCTCAGTATCTTTGTTGGCCATGAATAAACGTAGTACATATGATATGACATCATCTGGTCTCGTTACAATTAACCCTAAATTGACAGTTTTGGGAGCTAAGAAGCCAAATCTTGCTTCTAATCCACGCAGGCGCACAATGTTGTCATACATAAACCTTAAATTAAAACATCATTAACATTATACTATATTCATTGAAATGAGGGATTAAATTGTTTATTTAATTAAACAAAGTTGATCGGAGTATACCTGATGTATATACCGATAACACTGAGGCCTAATTCCAAATGTCTAAAAACTTGCTCCATATCCTCTCTACCAATTGCTTCAAGATATTCAAAACCAAAGATGTCTGCACTCATAGGTATAAGGCGG